TGTAGGAGAACTTAAATCGACAAGATGCATTCTACAATTAGCTGATAAATCCATGAAAGTTCCCAAATGAGAGGTAGAGGATGTTCTGATCAAGGTTGAAGAGTTTATTTTTGTTGTTGATTTTAATCTCTTGGAAACGCAACCCGTTCCCAATCTCAAAAGTCAAATCCCAGTCATTCTAGGAAGACCGTTTTTAGCCACCTCAAATACTTTAATCAATTGTAGAACCGATTAAATAAAACTATTTTTTAGGAACATGACTGTTGATCTCAATATTTTTAACCTAGAAAGGCAGCCTAGTGATCCATATGATTAACCCATGGAAGTGAATTTCATTCAGGGAATATTGTAAAACCCCGTAATACTGAATGTTGTGAGATATAATAATAAACATGTTATATTGTGATAAATAACGTTTATTAATATTTGAGTATGATAGGAATTGATTTGAGATCAATTCGATATATATATATATGAATATATGAGTGCAAATGCACAAAATATGCACGAGAAAAAATCTGGGAAAAATGACCAGTTAAGAATTTATAGATTTTATACAACAATACACTTATAATCTAGGAAAACTCAAAATATAAAAGTTGTAGGTCTTATCAAGGGCTTTCCAACAAATCTTATATTACTTTATTCCAAGGTCGTACGCGAAAGTTATTGCCAAAATACCAAAGGTTGTTTTCCTAGTCAGACTAGGTTTCCTGGTTCGGGTCAAACAGGTTTGTTTCGGGTTTGCCTCAATAAATACCTATGTTTTTCATAAAAATTCTCTTCTTTTATCATATCTATGAACCCTAGCAGCCACCCTCTCCCCTCAAAAACCCTAGATCTTATTCTTATGAGTTTTGAAAGCTTTGTGAAGCAAATATCGACAAAAGGGCGAGATCATCGACGTGTGACGAGGGAGAACGGGTGGTTTGTGCTCATGGATTGCTTGCTGTTTATTTCATAGGCTTGCACATGAGATTAAGGCAATATTATCTTCATCCAAACCTATCCTCATAGTTAAATAACTAGTGTAAATGATTAATATGATGTTGAATATGTGTTTTCATGCTTTAATCTTAACCTGAGGTGTTAAAAGTCAGATTTTCAATAGTAAACCTTAAAACAAATGCTAGATTAATAATCTTTTATTGCTGTTTATGATAGTATTATGATCATGATCATTAGGGTTTTTCATAATTTTATTCATATATGAGAAATTTAAGTGATGTACTATATATATGTTTTTTTTTGTAGAAAACCGCAGCACTTGTATAATATTTAATTGAGCGTTTAAGATAGCAAACAAACTCCAAATTTAACCAAACTAGTTTTAAATGAAATATATATGTGTCTAGTTTCTAAAACAGAAAATCATTCTTAATAAGAGTTTGTATAGAAAAAGATATATTATATTTACTAATAACATGTCCTGCAGAAAAATGGCTACACATATATAATGTTTAACTGGAGATTTGGGATAACAAATGAACTCTAAACTGAACCAAACTTATGTCATTTGAAAGATGTGTGAATCTAGTTTTCAAAACAAAAAACTATTTGTAAAAATAGTTTTCCTAGAGAATGATATGATTATTATACTAACAGATATCATGTCTGTTTTTCCTGCTCGTTTTGTGGAGCTATGTTGCGCCGTTTTGAGGTGCGTTCGCGGAGTTTTGAGCCGTTTGATGTTACACGTATAGTCATGAATATGTTGTGTTATACATTTGAGAATCCTAAGGGGATTATGATAAATTTTTATTTGATCATATTTGAATTAGATATCATTCATATACATGTTGAATGTCGTTGATGAGCACAGCTCAGTACTATATGGGATAGTGCGTCGACATACCAAAGATACAAAGATTTACATGAGCTGGATATCGTTGATGAGCTTAGTTTAGTACTACATGAGGTAGTGCATCGATATTCCATATATACAAACCATTAAGTCGGATTTTAGGAGACTTGATCTAGCTGTCCGTCCCACACTAGGGTGCGATGAGGCTCGTGAGCCGTATTTTTAGGATACTTATTTGGTAGTCCATCCCGCACTCATGTTATGCACTAAGATCACGATGAGACTAATGAGTCGTGTACACAGTTCAGGATACCTACAGGGTAGTCCGTTACACTGAGACAATTACTTGATAGTCTAAGTATGGCAGATGCCGATTATGAATATGACCTATCATTAAACTTTATGACTGAGATACGTTACTTTTGAAAGTATACAAAATTATGTGTTGGTATTTTATTCTATCTCTCCAGTGATAGTGGAAGATATTATAAATACGATGTGTTGATATCTTATTTCTTTTACTGTCTTTTTTTTTTTTACTTCTTAGTTGGGATCAATGATTAGAGATTCACAACTTGAGACTTATGGTATATACATGAGGGTTTCCTTGTTTGGATTATTTCGCTTAACGTACCAGTCTCGTGTTATGGATTTCTAATTATTGGTTTTATTAGATTGTCTTTTCTTAGTTCGGTATTAATATTTAGATATCTACAATTTGAGGCTTATGGTATATACATGAGGGTTTCCTTGTTTGGATTATTTCGCTCGACGTAGTACGTCTCGTGTTGTAGGTTTCTAAATGTTAATCCTACTTAGATACGAGAAAATGAATCTAGGTAGACTATGCTTAATAGATAGAGCATTCACTCCATCTAGTAGCCCTTTCCCTGGGGCGGATGGAGGTAATCTTGCTGTAGTGCTCTGACGCTCTTGTTATTATTTTTTTCTTTTAAATTACTTTTTAGGTAGTTCGGAGTTTCAGAGAGCCACAGAGTGACGGAGTTCTGGCATAGTTGCCGTCGTGTATTTTTACTTGTAGAGACTTCACTGTAGTTTTGAGTTTTATCCAGACATTAGAGTTTCATATTCATATTGTAAAGACAGTGTGCCTTAGTATGATTTTTAGTTGATTCATGTTGAGATATTTTTATTATTCAGATATCAGATGTATTATAGTTGAGACATGATTCTTTTCATTTCTGAGATATCTCTTCTATATCATGTCTATTACATTTATTCCCTTTATTTTGCCTGTTTGTACTTGCACTTCTATTTGGTTCTACTAGAGGATATTACTGTGATTAGTGAAACATGCTTATGCACAGTGTGGGTGCATGGCAGGTTTGACATCTCTGGTTTCACCTTGGACTGCAGCCTTGTGTGAACCCAAGGGCGTCACAGTTGGTATCAGAGCTCTAGTTTCAGTATCCTTAGGATCATCTTGTGTCGAGTCGTGGATCTAATATAGTGTTTCCTAGGAATCATGTATAGAGTCCACTAGAAATTCCTAGAATGAGTGAGGACGTTATATACGTATATTCAAAAATTTACAAATTTTTTTTTGGTGACAACTACCTTGCTTTGATTGAAAAGTAAATGCATGAATGATAAGTGATACGATTTTTCCTATTGGTATATGTTATGTTATTTATGATTGGGATCTCACTTACTGTGTCAAATAAGATATCATCTTGGTATTATAAACATTGGAACGAGGACGTGGTCGAGGTAAAGCTTGTACCCGGAGAGCTGGACAAGTAGAGCCCGAGCCGCAGTAGGCTCCAAAGTATCTGATCGACTTGGTAATACCGATTACAGAAGCAGAGACTAGCAACACTCGAGGAGTGAGTAACAAGCCAAATTTTACTCTTTGAAGTTCTACCACCAGTTGTACCAGCCGTACCTATTGAAGAGGTAATACTGAAGGTCTCACCATCGTCACATCCAGCTATTAATAGAGTCACGGAGTAGGAAGTTTGGCTCTGTAAGATTGAGGAAGATATTAGAAGTTAGGAGCACAAAAATTTTAGGGCACATCGGATTCAGTTACAACCTATAAATGGAGGAAATATGTGAGAAATACTTTTAGATTTACTTAACGTCGACTCAGTGCAGAAGCAGAGGCTGGCAGCTTTTAGCCTTAAGGGTGATGCAGGAGGATGGTATAGGCTTCAGTTCACTCTGGATCATCGGATGGCCCTCACTTGGGAGGATTTCGTGCATTTCTTCGACGAGCAGTACATCTCTTCCGCGGCACGGGCCGGGAAAGAGCTAGAGTTGTCTAAGCTAGAGCAGGGAGATATGTCTGTGGCTGACTATGAGAGCTAATTTATGAGTCTTCTACGTTTCACGGACATGTAGCAGTCAGGAGAGCGACAGGCGCAGATGTTTCTTATGGGACTTCGCCTAAGTCTTCGCCGTTACCTAGTTTCCAGAAGATTCCATTCAGTCCGAGAGGTCGCAGATGCAGCTATATCGCAGGAGACAGAGACTGCGATGTTCCAGAAGAACAAGGAGGGCAACAAGTCGGGATAGCAGAATGACAAGGGCAAGGGCAAGAGACCTCACTACACACCTGAAATCTACCATAGCGGCTGAAAAACGCTATGGTATTTTTTCATAGCGTTTTAATCAACGCTGTGTCAGAACCCACTATAGTAGGTCTGTGACTTTACATAGCGTTTCCCCAAACGCTATCAAAAAGTTTCCAACCATAGCGTTTTTATGTAGCTATAAAAGAGTATTCAATAGCGTTTCTATATTGCTATGACAAATATCTTTCATAGCGGTTGAAAAACGCTATTAGTTAGTTTTCATTCATAGCATTTCAACACTGCTATTGTCTTACATTTGATAGCGTTTGAGTTACTACAATGACATTTCAGCGAATGTTGTCTTTCTTCTTTTAATAGCATTTCAATAATTATTTCCACTTCTTATAGCATTTCAGTTGTGCCTATAAACCTTTGAGGTTGAACTAGAAATAACTTCCAATTGTGACAACCATAAAAGAAAATATTTCATTTAAAGGTTCAAACTGATACATAACCAAGTTGTAGCATACAAGAAGAGTCAACACAAATGTGCCAAAAAAAATACTAGTCTTTGGATAATCCAACATGGAGTACAAGAAATTAACCATAGTACACAGAACAACAAAAATTAACTTTGATGCATTACATATGACTTGGGAGACTCATCATCTTCAGAAATTGAGTACTAGTACTGCTGCAAAAACATAAATTAACAACACCAAAATTACAACTATAACAAACATGATAAAGTAAAAACACACGATTGCAAGACGTATAACTTACCAGCTTTTTAAAGCATAACAACTTTGTCTGATGGCCAAGCTATTGTCGTACCAACGGCATCTTCAATGCATTCTAACTCAGATGTCGGCCTCCAAAGAGATGCACTAGGGATCCAAAGAGATGCATCTATCTGAAAGTTGATTGTGGGCAAAATAACCCACCATAGCTACATGTTAACATAAAAGGGCCATGTAAAAAGTTTTGCTGGATCTATTAAAATAAATAATCAACAAAATAAAAGTGACAAATCAGTCTATTTGATAATGAACTTACTCTGGTAAAGATTTTGAATTATGAGCATCAATAGATAATAAAAGATACCACTCGTTTCCTAAACAAAAGCAGACTGAAAACTAAGAATACATAGTAACACATATTATAAACTGAAAGCTGACGATAAGAATAGCATGTTTTTTCAGAAGGCTCACCAAGGTTAATCCGCCGGTGTGATGCAGCATTAGATGGTTGTTTTGGGTCCATAACCCAAAGAGACCTATCAATTTCATCCATGGTAGACCAAAACTCCTGCAACTTCTCTAAGTGCTATTTGTTGTAAAGACATCATAGTAAACATAATACATAATACATAGTATAAAAATATAGAAGCGAAGAGGTCTAAGTTTATCTACCGTTTTGTGTACCTTGTTGAATTGCCTCACAATATCTTTCAATCTGGAGTTTTTTGACCACTCAAACTCACTGATGTAAGGAACATCCTACAACAATATAACAAAGATGGTACAAGTTAGATTAACTGTAAAGGTAGAATTTTAGGGAGATGCATTCTTCAATTCTATAGATAATAATTTAACCTCGATTATGGAAGAGAAGACCTTTTTCCTTTGCATATTAACTATAAGAAACAAGTTGCCAATTGTTCATTAACAACAACAAAGTCTTCGTCCAAAAATATTTGGGCTGACTAAATGGATCATACTCCATCATTCAGTTCCATTAAGGGTTATACACTCCACTAACTAATAATTACCATATCCTTCTTAATGATTTATCATATAAAGCTAATTACAATAATGCATGTGGTGGCTCATGGCTAGAATAATTAATCAAACTGACAGCGAAAATCGAAGGAGAGCTATGAGGATAGTTTCTAGGCAACGTGATCTCCAAAGTATGTGCTCTTCCTTTCTTATCTCTGAGGACAAAACAAGCAAAAGGAGATGACATTGAGATTTATGAAGTACAAAATTGAGAACTTATCGCTAAAAAATAAGAGCAACAATTCTGCAAACACTTCACAGATTATGAATTGAACTGGAAATAGGTAGGAGTAATCAATCAGCCATTCAAGAACTCGATTTTCCTAAAACCCTAGAGAAAAGTTTGGGGGAGTCAACCGTAACCTGGGAGTAGATGGAACGGTAGAGAGGCGCTGGCGGCGGTTCCATGATATGCATCAATCATACATTGGCCATGGAAACGCACAATTAATGTAGCACATAAAATTGATTAACCCCTTTCATGAAACAAAATAGAAAGTGCATACTCATCACTTAAAGCAAAAATTATAACTTGAACATTCCAAATTACCTACGTGGAGCTTGTTACTAGTCTTTTCCCCCTTTTTGAAAATTTCGTTTCTTACTTTGCTATTGGCAGTCTCCCCATATGATTCAGAATTCAGGATATCTCATAACCAAACATGAAACTTCTCCTATCAGCTATATCAACTTAAGAACTTTGAACTTTGGTAAGTACAAAGTAGAATATGTGTGCTTTATATTTTCAATGTTACTTAACACTAATTTCAAATCAATATGCAACCAAGATAGATGATCAAAGAATGACAACCATTCACAAATAAAATTGAGAAATGAAACTTTGAGGATGCTACTTTAGAAGTAACTATGAGATGTGTATAACACGCATTTTTAATACTACTCTAACTTCCATCAAATTGACCAGTCACCCGGTCATACACAAAGTCAAATCTGCAAACACTTCACTTAGCAAAAAAAATGTATAAAAATGCAGCAGTCTATGAGTTACTTCTAAAGTTGGGTAAATATATAACAGAATCCGTTGCAATAGACAACTCTATGAGTTATACTAATCTTCACAGTAGAATATTCAGCAGTCTAATTCCTTTAGAAAAATAAGGCTATAATTAGATTGATTGGTATACAGCTAAAAACTTGTACACAGGTACGCACGTGATAAAAACAAGTAAAAAGGAGGCAAAGATCCCCAGCGATTGTGTCACAGTTATGTGTTAGAAAATATACTTCTAAGATACAGAAATCAATATTTCGATAACTAACCACGAACATCTACATGTATGAAGTATCTCAGCAACATGATCATATCCATTGCATCATCCAACACAATCTTAGTCCTTCTGGTGAAACTAAAGATCCAAAACTATACGCAATAAAATACCCCAAACTAGCTAGTTTCATTAAGATTTAGCACTCAAGATATAATAATCTGTTACATTTGTAGCGCATCAAATAAAAACATATTTTTAAAAATCAGCAAAAAGTTACCTCCTTGGTAACTATACAGAGCCTACCACCGACCATCCCGTGCTCGACGAAAATCCTAGCCGCATAGCCCAAGGAATTCCCTCCACTAACAATAACGAACCTAAGCATTCACACAAAAATTACACTAAAATGAACAGAAAAAAATCAATTTTCGACAAAGTCTTATGTAAGGAGACTCACTCTCGGTTCTCGTTTGTGAAATTTGAAGCGGCGACAACAAACGATCTGCAAAATGATGCAAGAGATGGCAAGCGACAACAAACGATCTGTGAAATTAATCCCTCGAATCTTCAAATAAGAGGGGTTTCAGAGGTGGACGACAGACGAGGAGAGGCTCCAGCGGGCTCCGGCGGTGGACGAAAGACGAGGCGGTGGACGAAGAGGAGGGTCGGGTTTGGAGGCGGCAGCGGCGGCGAGATGCTGCGATAGCAAGTCGGAGGCGGCACAGGCGACGACTCGGAGGCGGCACCGGCGACGACTCGGAGGCGGCAGCGACGAGTCGGAGGGATGTTAGGGTTTGGGTGAAAGAAAAGGAACGGGAACTGGGTTATTTGTTGATTCTCGATTGGGGGTTTTTAGAATGGTTTTCAACATGCGGTTTTAATTTTTTGTGTCCCGCTTAAAGATTTCAACGCGCCAGAACAAAAATAAAAGCGATCAATTATTGATAGCGTTTAAAATTTTTCAAACGCTATAAAAAAATATGGCACATATAATCTATAGCATTTACAACATAAACGCTATCATTCAATGCTATAAAAAAACAGTTTTGTTGTAGTGCCTTTTGCTGGACTAGGAGGACCCCAGCAGTGGGGTAAGAACTTTCATCACCATCAGCAGGGCAAGTTCAAGAAGGGGGCACAACATGACTCGAGAGCACCACCGCAGCGCAAAATTCAGGGTGCATGCTATAACTTCAACAATATCGGGCATAAGGCCAAGGACTGTCGCAGTGCGCCAGCAGGAGGCCAGCAGGGCAGAGGTCAGGGCCAGCAGCAGAATCGAGGACATGTTCAGCAGCAGAACCGTGGTCAGGGTCAGCATCAGCAGGGCCACGGTTACGGCCAATAGCCACAGTAGAGGATTGAGGCACCACCAGCTATTCCTAGGATTAAGGGGCCAGTAGGCCAGATTCGCGCGATTCAGGATATTCCCGAAGGACAGATAGTCCCGTATATTCCATCATAGTCAGTTCAGTAGTCGCCAGCCACTGGCAGAGTCTATGCAGTCGTACCACATGATCACAATACAAGCGGAGCTATAGTAGAAGGTACTTTCTTAGTAAACTCTTTTCCAGCTCGGATCCTGTTCGATTTTGGAGCTTCCCATTCTTTTATATCTCATGCCTTCATGGATAGGCTCCAGTTAGTCGCACATCCTTTAGATATTCCGTTGTCCGTCTGTACTCCCTTATGGGAGGTATCCCTATTAGAGAACGTCTGTAGGAGATGTGTCATCAGCTTAGATGAGTCCGAGTTTATCATAGATTTGATCGTCTTACGGATGTCGGATTTTGTCGTCATTCTTGGTATGGATTGGTTATCATCCTACCATGTTAGCATTGACTGTTTTGCGAAAACAGATAGTTTGCGAGCGTTCGATGGGTCTGAGTTGATCGTAGCGACCTCACATGGTAACCAGTTTGCGGAGTCATTTCTAGCCTATATCGAGGAGGTGATGCTGAGAGATGCTGATTTGTGTGAGACTAGGGTTGTCTCGGATTTTTAGGATGTCTTTCAAGACATACCGGGGCTACCTCCTGTGAGAGAGGTTGAGTTCTGCATCGAGTTGCAGCCAGGCACAGCACCGATATCTCGAGCTCCCTATCGTATGGCACCTGCTGAGATGAGGAAGCTACAGACTCAGCTAGACGAGTTGTTGTCTCAGGGTTTTATTCGTCGGAGTCATTCTCCATAGGGGGCGCCGGTCCTTTTCGTGAAGAAGAAGGACGGCAGTATGCGTCTTTGTATAGATTATCGGGAGTTAAACAAGGTCACTATCTGGAACAGGTATCCATTACCGATGATTGATGACTTGTTCGACCAACTGCAGGGAGCGCAGCACTTCTCGAAGATTGATCTTCATTCTGACTATCATCAGTTGTGGGTTCGGAAGATGGATATTCCCAAGACTGCCTTTATGACTCGTTATGGGTCCTTCGAGTTTCTTGTCATGCCATTTGGGCTAACCAATGCACCTGCGGTATTCATGAATTTGATGAATCAGGTTTTCCGTCCATACTTGGACCAGTTCGTGATAGTATTCATCGACGACATTCTAATCTATTCGAGGTTGGAGGCAGAGCACGAGCAGCACCTTCAATTAGCATTGCAGACTTTGCGGGAGCACCAGCTATATGCCAAATTCAGCAAGTGCGAGTTTTGGCTATACGAGGTCAGATTTTTAGGCCACGTCATCAGCAAAGAGGGCATTGCAGTGGATCCAGCTAAGGTTACGGTAGTACTTGATTGGGAGCCACCGATGATAGTTACCGAGATCCGTAATTTTTTGGGTTTGGCTGGCTATTACAGGAAGTTCATTCAGGACTTCTCAAAAATAGCTACACCACTTACACACCTTACAAAAAATGGTGTACCTTTTGTT